CAGTTGACAAGTATGACTGAATTTTGAGTTGTTAAAAAGAAAACAATAAAACCTGTTTAGTTGAAAAGAATTAAATATAAAAAATGGTAAATGAAAGTTTTGTCAGTTTAAATTTGACATATTAAAACTATAATTATAAATTAAAATAGTCATAAGCATAATTAATATTTAATGAAGTTATAAAAATACCAAAACTAAGCTTGATTGAAGCTATAGCATGAATGGACAGCTTATAAAAATAGGAAGGATAAAATTAATGTGCTGAATATCCTTCCCAATAAATATAAAGAACTCAAGAAATTAAGCCTGTAAAAAGTGGAAGGAAATAATAATAAAATTGATGAGCAAAAAGCCAAAGTACTTTTCAAGTGATCAATATAACTCTAGTGCACAGCCCCCTACACACACACACACACACACACACACACACACACACACACACCAAGAAACTATAAAATTGTCATTTGTCAGCTGTCACAGCGATGATAGACATAGTCAAGGATCATCAATGGACATCTCAACTACCCACTTGTCACACATGGGACATCACAGCCCCTCTTATGAGATTCACTCCTGCTGGTGCTCATGTCCAGTGTCTTCACACAGGGACTGAAGGGTGCCCATGAATAGCCCACAGTCTCCCTACATGACAGTACTTTCTGAATCTAGGCCACATAGTATTTAGAGGTTATATCTTATTGCTTGTTCTGAGGGAAATCAGCTGGCTTGTACATGCATTCCCTGGAGGTAAGTGGAGGAGAAGGACTGAGAACTGAACATGATTCCAGGGCCAATTTGACCTCAGAAGACCTTCATAGCCAATAATTCTCAGCTCCTGGGCCACAAATACTGTGTGAGACAGTTACTCATTCTTGAGGTATTGCACTTCAAGAAGTGGGTAACTTAATTCATGTATATGGTCAGAAATGTACTACTTGGTATTTATAATATATATTACTTAATTTTATAGTAGATAAATCTGCATTCACTAACAACCAAGTGATTTAATTAACATGATGAGAGTTGGGGCAGATTTAGCATCATGCCTTCTAGTCTGATGTATTGTGATATTCCTAATATATATATATATATATATATATATATATATATATATTTATAATATGTGAATCAAACAAGGAAGAGAGTTTAAACAAGCTCAAAATATCAAGACTAAGGCAATCCTTGTCAAAGTAATACATGACCCTGAACTGGACCTAAAGACAAAGAAAGCCAAAGGGAATGGCCTTCATTAAGAAAATCTGTATAATTTGAGTTAATCTTTGCTATATTAGCAAAAAAATTTCTTATTGTGAAGCATAAGCTTTCCTACACAGGGATGGGACCACAGTTTGGGTGTTGAATATCTCCCAGGCCTATGTGTCAAAGAGGCATTTTGAATATTTCCCAAGGCCTATGTCGCTGGGAGGCACCACACAAAGCACTTTTAATCTTTAGTAGGCAGGCCTAATGGTTGGTCTTTCAGACATTTGTTGTGTTCCTCTGATGTAGACAGTAGGACCTAAGCCCCCTAACCTCCTCCTCCCTTCTGCTTCCCAGCAATGGGGTGATCATATCTTATAGTTAACACTGACTGTCAACTTGGAGGGGCATAGAATCACCTAAGGGACAAAGTTTTGGGTGTCACTGCACTAGAGACACTAGGACCTGGGGAAATGAAGCCAAAAAATGAAGTAGACTAGTCTCATGCAATAGTCAACTTTATTCAGAGCCCCAGACAATTTATACTCTGAGGGTTAAGAAAGGTCTCATGAGTAAAGTTCTCATGAGTTCAAGCTGTATACAGTCACAGGGACGACCTACATGGTTAAAATCATGTTTTTCCATAGAGGGAGGCATAAACATTGAATTAAATAACAGCAGCAAGCGATAATAAGTAATCTGAAGTAAACTCACTTTTATTCTCTACACTTGGGAGGAGCATGAAAACACATTCCAAGAACAACTCCTTGTTTTGAAGAAACTGAGGTCATAAGACACTTGCCTTGTTTTTTTGGAGTGTTATCACAAGCACTCAGAATTCTTCTCATAGGACTCCATTCCTGGGCTGTGTTCTGGCATCTGGGCATGTTAGTAAGGGGGTTTCTAGACTGACTTAAGTGAGGTGGGAAAACACACCCTGAATGTGAGTGGCACCAATTCCTGTACTGGAGTCCTGGACTGAGTAAAAAGGAGAAATTGGGAATAGACCTGTGTTCATCTGTCTCGGCTTCCTGACTGTAGATGCAAAGCACCAGCTGCATCTAAGATCTCACTGTCATGACTTCCTTACCATGATGACTGTGTGCTGCATTTACAATGTTTCTGTTAATTTGGGATTAAGTTAATGGTTAAGGAGACACTGACTCACTGTGGAGCACATTCCAGAAAGAACTCTACATGCACCATGGAAACTTCTGAGTCAGACTGCAGGAAATTCACATCTAATAGCCCCTCTCAGGTTTTTGGATAAGTTGGTGTTTTACTGATACTTTTATGAAGTGAAGCTCTAACGTTTAGGAAATGAAGTAATACAACTCTTATGAGCATCCTTAGCTCTGAATGCACAAAATCTGATCTACTACAGTTAAAACCTGAACTGTATAGCTTCCCAAGGCAGCCCAGTGCATGTTAAGTATCCTGGATCAAGGATCATGGGATGAGCACAGAAAGGGCTCCAGTGAACACCAAGAAAGATAAAGTATTTATCAAATTAACTAATAATTAATTTGAATTTGATCAAAAGATACCCATGTTTATTTATTTGCAATATTTGAATTAATATCCAATCGATCAACTCTAACATAATGAATAACCAAATGCTTGTGTCTCCTTCAGATCATGGGATGAATCTTCCCTTTGTAATTTAGGTAAAAGTCTCTTTAGAACTCATTTCTCAGAGACTGAACTCGTGTGCTTTTCAAAATTCAACTTCAAATGAGTTACATGATCTCATACTTATGCTAAGTTTTTCTACAGACAAAAAATGCTTAATATTTCTTGTCTAGTCATCTAAGGCATGTATTTTATACTGGACAAGCATAAAGGGATGGTCATAAGCCTCTTTGTCCATGAACCAAAGCTGTAGAACTGCAGGCTGAGGATAAATAAGACTTGGAAATCAGAAACCCCCTGCTCCTGTGCCTCTGGTTCACAAACCCAGGGCTGCTCAGTGGGCAATTGTAAATAGATTGTTACATATTTGCCTGTCTATTATGGGCCATATGAAAACCACACATTAGACTTCCCAGTTTCCCCAGCAGTGTAGCAGTAAAACCAACATGAGCATCTCAGGATGCCTGCCTGTGAGTCATAGGGCTGGGGCATAAGACCTGAAAAAGGAGGAAAATACAGGTTTGCTTTTTACTCAGGTGTTGGCAGGCCATTGGTGAGGGTGCAGGCACGCACAGTCTTAAAAGACTAGTTTCTGCCCCGGTCTAGCTGCAACCTGGGTTCAGGTCCTGAGCTGAGGAAGGGGCGACACTGAGAAGAAATAAAGTGTCCAACCACCAGATCAGTTTCACACAAGTGGTGTGCCCTGAATAGCTCCAGCTATCTTTATTTGTACTTCAAAAACAAGCATGTTTTCCATACTAAAAAACAAGTTTTTCCCATCCTCCAACATTAACCTCCAGCAAAAACAAATATGTCAAATATGTTTTTTTCCCAACTTTTACATCAAAACATCTTCAAACTCAGAACAACACTTACCATTTTGGTAGCTTGGCCAAATATCGAGCCAGGTACATCCTGTCTTTACAAAACCAAGGGTGATAAACATAGGCACACATATTTTTTAGAATGCTATTTATTGTTCAAAACTTATTTACAGAAATAGGGGTGATCTGCCTCCGATCCTGTCAGCACTGAATTGGAACACCTCTCGGGGTCTGAAGTGACAGCTGACGTCCCCAGACAAGAAACCTGAGAAGCATTAGCTCCCAAAGAATTTTAGGGGAAGATATTTGAGAAAAAAACGGGGTTTCCAGGAATGATCATATCTGTCCCATGCATGATTGACAAAATGACACTAAAACTGACAAGAGAATCATCAATATTACAAGAGAGAAGAGAGCATGCAGGCCGTGCGGTCCCAGCAGTATCCTGTGCTGTCCAGAAGTCCACTGGTCCTTGCCGAGTGAGACTGTCCCCATGGGCTTTTGCCTCATCTGGAGACCCATTGGACAAGCACTCATATATTGGTCTAGTACTAGGCTGAATGGTTCCCAACAAGTTTCCATTTACATTTATACTAGGATAGTGTGGATCTATAAAACCCAATATTGCTTTTATATTTCTTTTGAAACAAACCTGATATGAGAAACTCTTAACTGAAACTGGTGACGAAGCTGGAGCCCTTTTGGAAAGTGTGGGAGGCAAGATGGAATCAGAGCCCCAGCCCCGTACATCAGAAGGAACCCTCACAGTGACTGGGGACTGGGGCCTAATTAGATACCAAGAGAGGAGCACACAGGAATGGAGACCACTGAGGTTGAAGGACTTGGTACTTTAGTATGCTTTCTTTTTCCAGAAAGTGGGTCCTGAAGGTTGCCAGGCTAGGTTATGGCGTGGAGATCCGCAAAGACCAAGAGGACCCAAGAATGTTGTCGGGGCAAAGCGTTACCACACTCAGAATCTGAGAAGCTTTGCCAGTGGAGATGGTCACCAAGCGTCTGTAAGTTCCACTGATGGTATCACCAGAATCCACAGGGAACAGCATCCTAGTCTCCAATGGTCCAGGTGCCCTCTTAGCCTTCCAGCCCTAAGGGAAGCACGCTTCTGACCCTGCCTCAGCTCTGCACTTTGCCGGCCCCGGTGGGGAAGTGATTACCCCTGTAAGGAGGTGATATCCCCACTTGCAGCTCTCACAATCCAGTACTGCCTGCACTGGCTGGAGGTGGAAGGGCAGAGCTGATGGGCCGGGTTACCGGGCATAAGGCGGGGCTTGATGGTAATGGGCGGAGCTTGGTGGGCGGTGAGCAGGGTAGTAGGGGCCGGGCTGCTGGAAGGTGGGCGGGGTTCCGTGCCTGCCCTGATTGCTAGCGCAGTGGCTGCTGGCTCCGTCCGCCCCAGCCCATCCAGAGAGGGGCGCGGGCGCCGTGCAGGCGCTGGACTTGGGAGCTCCGGAGCCCGAAGCGCGCGCCTAGCCGCGTGGGCGGCGATGAGCGCCGAGGGATCGCAGTCCCTGGCCGCCCCCCGCGGACGTCCTAGTCACCTACTGGTGCCCGCGCGGGTGAGTGGGGTCCCCTAGAGGCCCTTTTCTGCCTCTCCTGACTCCCTTTGGTCCCCCTGTTTCCCCTCTTCTCCCAGCGCCCCCTCCTTTCTTCGCGTCCTTGTGTCCCCCTATCCGGGTGGCTCTTGTGGGCGGGGGTTGGCGCTGGGCCCTGGGAACAGTGGACATCACTAGCCCCTGGGCACTGCAACCTCGTCTTTCTTACATCACAGCTACCAGCATGCAGGGTTTGATTTTCTTATCTTGAACATCTGGGTCATGGGGCACAGGTGCTTTCCTGCGTGGTAACTATGGTCTTTCAGAGCGTGGGGTCTGGGCTTTGCCCAGCATTTCTTCTGAGGAATGGTCCCTCCTGCTCCAGGCAGGGGCTCTTGCAGCAACTCGGACACTGTGCAGGGGTTCTTGCTGTCCCCCTGATGGGGTGTGGTGCCAAATGCCTCTGCCTATCCCTTGGGCCACCAGCTCAGGACCTCCAGAAACCAAGGGGACACTGATGGGCCAACTTTTTAGAGTCTATTTTAGATCCTATCACCCCCCCCATCCTTATAAAAACAAAAAACAAAACAAAACAAACAAACAAACAAAAAAAACTATTGATTGACAAAACCCAGAATTGTTGGCTTAAACAAAAACGGAAAGTTCTTGGAAACCTTCAAGTTGCCACCCACACGACACAACCGAGTGTTCTGGAAAGGGTGCAAGACAGCAGCTGTTTATCACGGCCTTAGGAAGCTGTGTGCCTGTGTCCTGGGGTGCAGTCACACCTCCTCTTTAACTTTGCTCAAGAACCCAAGCCCTCAGCATTACAGGAGATGAAGGTCCATTTAGGGTAACAAAGGTCTGAAACTGCAGACTGGAGTGGCTGCAGGTGTCCAGTCTTCTGAAATAGGTACTGCACAGTGGTACGTTTAATGTGTTGAGACCAATGTATCTGCTTTGCAAGTTGTACCATTCTAGCGATTCCCTCGACATCTTTAACGTTTTTGGTGGAATATGATGGGGTTTTGTTGTCTTGTTTTTTTAATACTTTGTAATATGAATAGTTACCCAACTACAGCAGACTCAAACCTTAGAAAATACACTTGGATTATCTGGAAATAGTAGAAAGCAAGTGCAGAAGCTCATGAGTCGTTAACTTTCTGTTGTATTATTCTCGGGACTTTAATAGGGTGTCCTCCCACGGTGCATTTTGGGAAGTATTATTGCAACAAGTCTTGTTAGTAACTCCTGTAATTAGAGGAAAATTGAAGTGGTTTATTCTACTTTGAACCTACCCATGAGTTTTGGCAGACTTCAGTTTTAAGCGCATGTGTTACCTGGAAGCCTTCAAATCGGCTCATTGAACTCCATGTCCCGGGCTAAGGTGCTAGGCAGCACAAGACCTGCTCAGTGCCTCATGTGTAACAGCAGCCTTGATGATGTGAAATGGCCCATCAGAACTGTCCTTGAAGGAAACTTTTGCCACCATTGAGGCCATGCACTTCAGTAATATGCAGAACATACCTGAGATTTACTGTGGTGCGGTGCTGAAGTCTTAATGAGTGAGGCTCGAGTTCTTATTCAAAGTAAATCTGCCAAGTTTGACATTTACACAATCTCAGCATCCCAACATTGTGTCGACTATCTTCATGTTGCAGCATTTGAACCTTTGGTGGGTGGTGTTTCCTTGTTAATTACTGGAGCATAGTCATCGAAAAACTCAGTTTCTTAGCAATCACTATGCATAACATTACAGAGCTTGCAGTACCCAGCTACGCGATCATTTAAGTTAACAGAACTTAATGCATCTACTTAGGAAAAATAATTATAAAACAAAGATGGTACTGAATCTATTGTATTACTGCTTTTAATTTTTTGTCTGAAGTCAAAAGTTTAACGTATTCTTTATAATGGCTGCTTGAATCATGGCAACTGGGTTGGGTTTGGTGTCTTACACACTTTTCTAAGTTAGGTCAGTTCATGAAGTTCTGTTTTGAGGATCAGCCATCTCATTGATGGAGAGTCTGCAATTCTAAGCAGAACTTGAGTTTACTGAGTATTTTCTGTTTTTAAGTGGTCATTCTTCAATCCACAACAGTTCGAGCTGGTAAGCTGCAGTTTCATAGGATGACGTGCCCTGCCCATGGGAAGGTACGCTTATTAATGATAACACTTAGCCACTTTTCTAGCGCTGCCACTGCTGCAGGATGAGTTAGGCAGGTGCTGTAGGATCCACCCATTGTTTCCTGCTGTTGTTATGTGTCCTTCCTTCTTTCAGACACTTTTGATCTCACCTATGGAATTTTTTTTTTGGTACCTGTGACGTCATAGGCCAAATCCATGTATTTTAAAGCAGGGTATTACCTGGTTTTACCAGGAGACATGTCTCATAGTGAATATTTGAACAGGACCTAATTTGGAAAACTGTTTACTTGTCAATATCGGAAATGAAATTTTATCTTTTTTTGAAATATGTGACAATCTATTATATCTACATAGTTTTCAGTTTTAATATAGATATATTTTTCCAAGGCAACTCACACAACCATCTTTAGAGAGGCTGGAGGTGATAGCATTGCAGCACAGAATGAGAGGGAAGCTGTTGCACCAGATTCTTTGCTATTAAATGGTTACATTCTCTGGAGCCTGGTTTTGTGCTCTGCTGTGAGCATAGGTAATTAATTACATCAGGTAGGGTGAGTGACAGTTAAGAAGGCACTCCCCTTTCTTCCTGCTCCCTGTGCCATGCTGTGCTGGTACCCAGGGAGTGCACTGGATTTACAGTGTGAAGATGGACTCACTGATTAGCATAGGAGAAAACTAGCAACCCCAGCCTGGGAAGTCCATGGACCTGCTTCTCACCTGTAAACTCTCCAGAGCAATTCTTATGGTCACTTGGATTCTAATACCAATCACCCTTAGCAATTAGTTGTCATTTAAAAATTACAGTTTCCATATAATCAGTGTAGTACATCTTGGTGTTATGATATATGCATACATTATGCATACATTTAGGTAGTATGATCTCAGAAACTGGCTATTTAGTTAGACTGAGAATTTTGGTTGTATAAAATGAAATAAAGAAGGTTTCAAAAGTCCTTCTAGGGAAAAGACAATAATTTCACGGAAAAGGCACTTGGGTTTTTTACTCGTGAGCTCTTTCCCTTGTGGTCCAATAAGCCTATGACTGGGATTGGAAATCTTGCATTGTTTTCTGCCAACAGGAGGTGGTGCTGTCTCCTAGGCCTCACTGGAGTCCCATTCAGACCTTGGAAGCAAGCCGGCTTATCCCTTCTATTTCTGCACTAAGCTCCCCTTGCTGACTTGATCCCTACTCACGGACATTCCTGGCTTCCTCTGGGAGCATCTGCTGTTGTTCTTCTCTACCCCCAAGGACGTACAGGGCATCTTTGCAATCCTATCCTGCCGGTGACAATGACTTCTAACACTACCATCCGGCACGCTTCAACACATGCTATTAAAAAGTGCTGCAAGGATTTGAGATTCTTTTTCAGTTTGAATGTCCTTGCTAAATATTTCTTTTCAGATCTGGTATTATTATTCATCCGTTACATTTTTATTAGGCAAATAATTAAGATTTAAGGAAAATGACTATGCCTTTTAGCTTATTTAAGGCTGTAATTGCAAAGTTATAAAAATGTCAGGTTATATTTTTAACACATAAGGTATTTTAATTTCAGAGACTACTTACTCCAAAATTGCTGAATTTTCATTCTGTTTAACCTGTTTTATCTCCATTATCTTTACTTGCCTAACACATTATCTGTCTTACTATTTGCAGTAATTTTTTTTTTATTGTGGAATAATGATGCTGATTCTAAACTGTCAGCATTTTGACTTTCCCAGCTGGGATAGGCACCAAAATCCATTTGACATTTGGATAGATCCCACTTGATTACAGCACTGATTTGTATTACGATAAATATAAGCACACACGACATTGTACGCTCATTGACTTCCATGTTGTGGATTTATTTCTCTTATCACTATTCCTTGGACCCCAACTCCAGGAACAAATGTACAACTTACTCCAGACAGTAGTAAAGTCATTTATGCACTGACCAATGAAAAATAAATGTATCTATTTTTATTTTAATTGAAATAAGTGGGTGGTAAATCACATGGCACAGTTGAATTCCATTCCTAGAACTGATTCTAGCAGGCAGAGATTTAAATGATAGTACTTCATTATAGGTAAAATATAACCATAGTATCACACCAAGCTCCACAATAAAACTTTGATTTTACCATTGAAATATTTAGGAAAAACAGTCCATATTTGTGGTGTGGTATAAGTGTCAATAATTCCAATAAGATTTATGTTATTTTCCATGGGAAACAAATATTTTGCATCTAGGACAATTCCCACACTGTTGGCTGACTCAGCTTTTAGAAGTTGAACAAAAAATTCCTCCTCCTCATGCCCTTTCCAAGATGAGGTAAAGGAGAGGGAGTGGGCCACCCCCAACTTGTGTCCCCGATTCTATGATTCTTTCTACAGTGGCAAGAGGTATTGTGCTGTGCTCCACTTGCTGAGCATGTCCTCTGCCCCACTGAGGACAGGGTTGACCCCATTGCCCCAGTCCCAGAAGTCTGTGCGTTTGTCTGAAGGCAGCTTCACAACTTCTCAGCTTCAGGGTGTGTTGTTGACTGCTCCTCTTCTCTTTCTGTCCCTGTAATAGGGTGACTGCTCCAATTTTGTTTTCACATTGGTGTATATGGGATGGCCACTGGAAGCTATCCCATATATTTTGTATTATTTCTTGCTGGCCTGGTCCTGGGCCTCCCTGAATTATGCCACTATTGCCTTCTGTGGACCCCAAAGCTGTCTACAGCCCCTCTGATTGGACCAGCTCTGCTTGAGGGTTCACAGAAAACATCTTCAAGACTTACCTTCTACTATAACCCTGGACTGGGTTTTCTCTCTGATGTTGACATGTCTGAGCATCACATAGAATCAACCACAAGCCTATGGTGACTATTGAGACTGGGCCCACTGA